CTGTCTGTTTCTTTTTCACGCCAAAACTACTGAACGGATTTGAATGAAATTTGGTACACATATGGTCTAGACCCTGAGAAAGCACATAGGCTTTTTTATTGCGAAACGGGGGTTGTTATGGGTTAAAAGGGGGGGTGAAAGTTTGTATGGAAATTCGTAGTTTTTGAAGATAGAACATTGAAACTTTCTTCTTTGGCTTTTTGAGAATAGGAGTGGGAGTGGGATTTAGAGCAGAAGTGATGTGAGGTGAGAGTGTTGCGGCAAAGTAGCACTTGCAACGTAGATTGGCTGCGATGAATACGCAATTACATAATTTAATAAACAGCCTAAATAATTAAAAATTCTACCCCAAGTCACTGTTCCACGCGAACAAAGTCGCGGGCACAGCTAAGTTCTATATATATCTAGATCAAAATATTTGTATTACCCCCTCTAAACTCATCAATCGTCAATAATCCCTCGCGTGGGACACTTTCGAGAATTAACACGTTTGTACGCAGCGGATCACGTATTTTTTTTGTTGTTTGCTTTGTCCCGATGTCACATCTCGTTATTACAAATTAATTACAGCTAGAAAAAATTAAAACAACATTTACGGGTTTTTGGAATAACAAACACGATTACGACGTCCAGGAAATTAATATTGTTGTAAGTTGATCTATGTGTATAATCAACTTACATAAATATAAACAATTTTAGCAGTTTTAAACTCGCAATATAATAGTTAAAAACTTATTTAACATGATGGCATCGATTTAAGAGCAATAGCACGGAACGTTGCCGGTTCAAGTCCTGCCCATGTGGTATTTTTTTGTGGTATTTTAAGTGTGACTCGCCGTTTCGGGTATTTTTTCAGATATATTTCGAATTTTTAACCGTCAAAAGGGTTTGATTAATTGTAAAGTACCTACTCATGTATACAGACAATATACTAAATTGTATACAACTAGTTACTCATTGTAAATTCCATCAAAATTAGATCAGTAGTTTAACTTACATTCTGCAAACCAACATAAAACCCAACGAATGATTAATGTGTACATCATAACTTTATTTTCTAATTAACTGTGTCAGTTACCTCGTCCGCGGGAATAGTTATTTTGGCAATTCAAATCCCACTAAAGATTATTTTCGCTTTTTTTTCACTGTATCTTCACTTGTATTAGTCACAGGGTTGTGTTTAAGCTATAGCCTTGCTCGGTAAATGCTCTAACCAACACTAAAATATTTTTTCCATTCGAACCTGTAGTTCCTGAGATTAGTACGTTCAAACATACAAAGTCTTCAGCTTTACATATTAGTATAGATGAGTCCTGGTTATAATTACACTATAACCTACGCAGCGTGAAAGCCGTTAACATTATATTTTTTCTATAAATATAAGTGTCGCTATATAAATCTACTTTTCAAAATCTAAAACTCCATTATTTATAGAATTTTTAAATAAAACCTTACTAAAAATTACAATGTTACATTTTGTATCATAACACATACCTAAGTTTTTATTTTTTACTTTTATTAAATTAGGATTTACTTTTGACAATTACGACGTCATATTCACATAGGAAAGCTTTGTTCTTCAAACAATTTCTTACTCCTTTCTCACCGTAAAAATCAGTCTTATAAAGTAATATATACACGATTAGTTGGTGAAATCATGTACCACCATATTCCCTTCTTGAATATGAAACAATTCCTTTAACTCACAATGGTCGACGGGAATTATGAAAACACAAAAGGTCCGATAAAATAGCCTGACTTATTCCCAATTATTATTATACTTTGACAGATAGTGTGCTGCGCGTTGTGGAAATTTAGCACAATTTCCCACAGTCGTTACACTGATTACCACCGCACTTTGGTTCTTGCTCCGTTGCGTTAGAGTGTATATTGTTTGGCGCGGGCGTCGAGCGAAGTTGCGTTTGATAACTTTGCATTCAAACCACGTACACTTGGCATAGAGTCTGAATAGATATCTTGTGAAATGATACGAGTCTCTCGATGCCAATAAAGCCGGATTTACATAAAATGTCCCTGAATCATTATTCAATTGTTTAATGACTATTCTAATAATTGTTATGGGCCATCTTCTCGAATGCTTCGTAGGTCAGCCTTTGTATAGATAATAATAATGTAACGATATAAAACCATATAAATTTAAATAAAACACTTTTACGGTTTAAACGCGATTAAATATATTAGTTAAATTAATTTGAAAATTATTTTTAATATTGGCCCGACGTTTCGAATGCTTTGCAGCAGCTGTGGCCACGGCTTATAATTTTCAACTTTAACTAATAGATATATATCGCGTTTTAAATAGTTAAAGTGTTTTATTTAAATCTGTACTACTCGCGTAAACTACAGACAGTATTTATGTTTGTAACTTACTACTAACTTTGAGATTTATCTCATAAAACCTTTGTTCTTGTAACAGATTATAACGAATGTGCTTAGTCTAAAAATAGAAAATGTTTCAAGCTTTCCTCGGGCGAAAGGAATACTTGCGTTTGTAATTTTTCAGTTCGAGCGATGAGATTTTATTGCTTTTCACGAGAATTTTCCTTACATTTCATGACATTCATAGTCTTATGAACATTATTAGAGAACTCCGTAGTTGAGGGAGTATTTCATATTTAAATAAAACACTTCTTAACGGTTTAAAACGCAAAATATATTACGTGACGTGTCTTCCTTTGACCACGACTGTTGTAAAGCAACCTAGACGTCGGGCCGAAGAAGTTTAACTAGTATATATAGCGTTCTAAACCGTTTAGTGTTTTATTTATTTTGAGTCTACATTTCTTTTTAGGCAAGAGTTTTATAAAGTTAAAATGTAAGTAGTAATCAAGTGATTTGTATCGAGATTAAAAATATATATGAATTGAAAAAAATTGACGACACATGCAGGATTTGAACTGGCATCAACCAGTATTGAGGTTCCATGTCCTTTTTATCGAGCCAGAGTTCTTGTATGAGAGTAGTTTTGTAGATTGAAACATTGCTGAAAGATTAAGTATGTTCTACACAATGATTAAAATACAATTAACGGTTTAAAACGTGAAGTATAATGCTGTGATCACTTTTATAATCATTGTTGTTGCTTTATGAAGGCTTTCTCCAAAATTGACCTGGATGTAACAAAATGATATGACATCACACGTCAAAGGCCCTTCTTTCAACTAAAACTTATTCACATAAATATTTATATAGATATTATGCCCAAATTAAGTATTTCACACAGATACAGCTGCTGGATAAACAGGAAATACTTATTTTATTGAGTTACTATTGTGCCCAAATAAGAATTAACAGAACACTAACAACATGTATAAGCAAATTTACAATCCATCAAGTGATTTATAAAATCCTGGAAAAAAAAAGCTCCCCTTCATTCCTGGAATGAGCAGGCGCGCCGCAATAACCCGGGATTATAGTGCATTTCCGCGAAAGCTTGCAGTTTTGATTTGCACTTTATTCCTTAACTTGTTATTATTACATTACTTTCAGCTTTGCTGGGTGGATGAAGGATTTTATTGAACTTTCTATAATAACTATGCCGTGACGATATCATATAAATAAGTAGTATTTTTAAATAAAACACTTTAACAATTTAAAACATATATTAGTTAAACTTATTTGAAAATTATTTTTAACTTTGACCCGATGTTTCGGATGCTTTGCAGCAGCCGTAGTCACCGGATCGAAGTTAAAAACGAACGATGTCTAACGTGTTACAGAAAAAATATAAATTCATTCGCAACGTTGTCTCATAAGTATGTATATAGTTGTTCATTAGTTCAAGCTTCTATGATGTATTTAGTTGGTAAGCCACTTTGATGTAATTAAATTTAAATTTAAAGTAATAAATATAGACACATGGCCTTGGTGGATTCCGACCCAACGACCCGTTGATTTTTACACATATATTGCTACCATTACATCAAGAAGCCAGTCAATCATGAAGGTTGTACATAAAAATACTCCTTAAATACTGTCTGTAGTTTAAGCAAGTACAACAACATTTAATTTAAACATTTTAACGGTTTTAAACGCGAAATATATTAGTCAAACTTATTTGAAAAATATTTTACTATGTTTCGCAATCTACCGGCACCACAGCTGCTGAAAAGCAATTGAAACGTCGGGCCGTAGTTAAAATAAGTTTATAATATATTTCGCGTTTTAAACCGTTATAGTGCTCTATTTAAATAAAACTTATGCTGCTTACTGACTCGTAATTCCTTCTAAGTAATTGTTCTATTCTCTACTAAATGTGACAACCATATTTGATAGTAGAGTGACTCGGAAACTGTCATAACTCCGTTGACACCTCCACGACTGCTTTCAGAAGTACTAATTGACCTAATGTTTAACTAGTAATAATCTACCTTCAGTTCTAGTTTGATAGAATTCCGTTCTATTTAATTGTCTTATGTAATTGCTGACCGTACTAGTTCTCTTGCTTTGTGATTATATTCCAGGGCAAATATGGTTTTTTAATTTTAACTATTGATTTTGTAAAGCGCGGTAGCAATTTTTTTTAGAAGTAATTTTATTTATATCCTATCTTGTCTATTATTTTAATCCGTCGAACTCATTTCAGTGTAAGTTATAAATTGATCTTAGATTGATAAAACGTCGGGCCGTAGTTAAAATGTATTTCACGTTTTAAACCGTTTAAGGTGCTTCATTTAAATGTGCACTAATTGCACTACAATATAAATAAAAAATGTATTTAGACTGAAAAAAAATACGACAAGGGCAAGCTGGATACCTGGTATCCAGCTTTGCGTGCTGTCGCTCTAACCAATTGAGCTAAAGTCAACACTTCAGTATGCCAAAGCTATAAGCCAAAGCTAAAAGCTGTAACTAAGCGTTAACCTTTAGTTTCTTCTTTAGAGAAGTAAAATCTTTATCTTTATACTATTAGCTATATTCATATACTTAAACAACAGGGACATTTCCTAACGTTTTTCATCTGCCTTCTAAGTTATAAAATGCAAATTAAACTGATAGAGAATGAATCAAACATACCGTTCGTGCGCTTACGGCCATCGTTCGTCTTGATTACGCACGAATTGGCCTGGCACTCGCATAAAGACAAGGCCTCTTCGCATTTTGACAGCGCCGCGTGCGTTCGCTATAGTCTGCGACGATTTTGTTGTGTGACTAGTGTTGTTCGCGTCCGTAGCAATCTTGCATACGAGATTGCACGCCGCCGAAGAAATCAAGAAGTTCAAAAGGTGCCCTGCAGGAGACAACGAGAGATCGAGAGGAGATTCAGGTAAGTGCCCTAACAGAAAGACATTTGGTCGTGAGTGACGTGATATTCTCCTCTAACTTTAAGACTTTTCCTTGTATCCCTCTTTTTTTATTTTGCTCATATATGACTTTCCCGCAAAATCACATACAGTTTCACAAAATAGTAAAGACTCTACAGTTTTGTAATGCGCAGAAACGTGTACGAAGACAAAATACGACGTACATCTTTACTTTTTTAAGAATATCCTCAGGCACTAAATCAATGGAAAGTGGACTTTGCATAATAATAAAAATGAATTACGCTGGCAACATTTTAATGCACCTTAGCACACGGAATAAGGACGGACTCTCTCACTTCGTATTCAGGCAAATTAACTTATGAGTGTAATTAAATTTCTTAGTGCACCGGATTTTACTTGCGTTAGAATATTTTTAAATTAATTTCAATTACTTTAGAATGTAAAAATGAAATATGTTGACTTCTAATTATGGTCTACCCTCATTTTGTGCTATTTAAAATAATTTTGTAACGCTAAATTTAAACAGCGAAAATATTTGTAGGTAGTTGAATTTCGAATTTCAAAATGGCGAATGCATTCCTTATTTAAATATGGCTAACATAAATGGAACACTATAAACGATTTTAAAAACCGAACTTTATTGGTTAACAAGCGACCGGTAGGTAGTTCCAGGGCTTAGGTGCAGGATTTTTTTAGAACTTAGAAGCATGAGTTTTATCAACCAGAAATTCAAATATTAATCTTAAATAAAAGGTAGGGCACAACCCTTCTCCCCAACAGCCAAAAACAGTTCTATGTACAATAATACAATATTTGTGTACAAAAATGGTAGAGCTTACCCCTAAATATAATAACAGGCCGAAAGCCATTTAAGTGCTAAAATATAATACAATTAGTTCCCAGCGTCGCTTATAAATTGGCCAAATTAATTCAGTAAGAGGAAAAAGTGGAATTAAGACCTATGATTAAGTGCTGTTTATTCGAGTTTCGGGTTGGGCTCTTTCGGACCGTTTAGTTAACATCCGCAATTTCGGGTTAACTTTGCCGTTTTAATGACTGTAGGTTGGCACTTTGCTTTAAAACTCGATTGTGGAATTATATTCGAAATTAAAGCTCAGCTAAGGTATTCCTTACACGGGCAAGACACACTACGACACAATATCACAGTTTTGGTTATACATATCAACCAAACTAACCTTAAGGCACAAATGTAATGCGTAGAAATAATATAATAAATTTAAAAATCAACCTAAAAAGATTTTCAATTTCATCTAAAACATGTGAATAATATAACAGTTTTTATCCGTAATATCATCTTCAATGATTCCTTAATGCGCAAAGCATAAGGCACAAAACCTAAATACGTAAGTGTTAAGGTTGAAATTACATTGCGCGAGAGGTGATTGTATTAATTGTTTGAAAAAAATCGACGATACCAGGACACGGTTTGCTCAATTGCTTAGAGCAACATCACGGAACGTTGTGGACGCCAGTTCAAGTCCGGTGTCGTGATTTTTTTAATCTAATTTTTTAAATTATATTGTCTGTAGATTACGCAAGTAGTGTAACATTAAAAACAGTTATAACGGTTCAAAAAATAAATACAATATTACGAGGAGTGCGCTGTCGAGTTGTTTTGGCCTTGGATTTTCGGAAATCCATACACTGAATCCAAAACGATATTAAACTTGACGGCTTTTTTATCTGTGCACGTTAGTGGACCCGGACGGAATTTCAATATTTCCACCACCCATTTTATATCCAGATTTCTAGTCAATGTCTTATGTCTCAGAAAAATTATAAATCGAATAGAAAATGTTGGATCCATTAAGGATCGAACTTATTATATTGCTCATTGCAATGAGCCAGTCAACGTAAAAATGGAAATCATCTCGGAAGCCAAAGAAAGCACAACTCTATCTGTAATGTATTAGCTAAGTAACAATAGAACAATACTGTTACTAACGTCGCGCGAACTGCCGCACTAACGATCGTTCTCGAGGGAACCTCTCGTTTTGTCCTAAAAAAATTCACGAATTTCAACTCGAAAAACTGAGACATAAATGGTATACGGATGTGTGAGGTATCTCGTATCGTTGTTTCCACTGAACTGAAGTACAAGTTTCATAGCTTTAATAATTAGTACTAAACAGAAGTGTGCCTGAAAGGAAGAAAGAACGAAGAGTTTAAATAAAACACTTTAACAGTTTAAAACGCGAAACATATTAGTTAAACTTATTTAAGAATTAATATACCAACTACGACGGAACAGATGGCGCTAGCGTAGCAGGTTTTACTTTGACTCCCCGGGACCATGGCTGCTGCAAAGCATCCGAAACGTCAGGCCGTAGTTAAAGTAATTTCCACGAATACATTTCGGGTTTTACAATATTAAAGTGTTTTATTTAATAGTAGCAAGTTAGCAATGTATGGCTTATAATCAGAGGGTCACGGTTGCTACATGTTACTAATAAATTTATATTTTTTCTGAAACCTATTGGACTGTCTTGAAAATTTATATTATACATATAGATGGGCCGAAATTCCACAGATAAAAAGCCTTGAAGTTTAATCGTGTTTTTGGGTTACGGAATAGCCAAAGCTCAAATAGGTCGATAGCGGATCTTGTTATATATATTGGACGGCTAAGGTACCAACGTAAGGTCTAGTATTTTACCTATATTCCATGCTTTTCTGCCCTACTCTATAATTTAAAAAAAATTTACTTTAAATATTTACTATAAATTAAATTGAAATAAATTGTCAGTCCTTTGATAAGGAATTCATTTTGTTTCTCTCTTTTAACGTACGTTGGATTAAGAGAAGCGAACGAATCAGCAGCGTTTCAATTACTTTAAAAACTTTTGTAATTGCTCCATTCAATTAAACTTATTAATGGAAATGTTGATACTGTTTTCCGTGTGTCTTCCCCAAAATTGTGGTGTAGGAAGAAGAGATTCAAATTTTACGAAAAATAATTAATACTTAAGTTTCCTTGCATAAATATTTTAGAGCATAAAAGTGATCAGTTCTTTTATGTGATAGTGCATAATTCTTACTTACTGCCCCCTAGAGCTACTATTTTAAATTATATAGTAGGTATATAATATATTGATTTTTTATTGTTAAGGTATGTCATTGTAATGCATTGAAGTTAAATTCAACATTTAACGTAAGTGTCAATAATATCTTTTTCAGAAGAGCTGATTCTAAGCCTTCTTCTCTTTATTAGTAAAGTATAAAAAACGGTTTAAAACGCAAACTAAATTTGTTATTTATCAATTACGAACCGACGATCAGTCATGTATCCCAATCAACATGAACGATGCTATAAAAAGAAACGTCAGGTCGTAGTTAAAGTTAATGAATGATTATATTTTGAATTTAAAATTGTATTTTAGTTACGGTATTGTTTAAATCCCATTTCTCCAGTGGGCGACAACATTCCTGCTTCCGGATTACTGATCGGTTGTATTTAAGCAAGTAGTTTATCAGACTTTTGTGCCCTAAGGCTGTCCAACCCCGGGATTCGAACCCAGAACTTCTCGCGTTCTGACGCAATGCTACAAATTAAACATGAGCAATATAGCTTATCTATCTAAAAAAATGTTTTATAAGTTTTTCAGACCCAAAACTAAACTCTGTAGCCTCACAAGAGATAAAAAATCAGACTCAGGACTTACGAACGGACAGAAGCCGTCCCAAGTAATACTGTTTGATAAACTAAGTTTCGCTGTTATCTAGATGCCTAGTTCTTAAACTTGTTACCTTGGAGGGAACCTTAACGTTTTTGTTGACATATACCTTTTCCCCTTGTTACATAAGCTTCTTTGATGTTTGAACTGTACATATAAAATTAGAGATACACAAAATATTGAAGTAACAATATATCCTGTAGCTATACACCCTGGCTCGGAGAATGGGGATATATGGTTGGTAGGTAAACAGTTAAGTATAAAACGCTGAGATATTTTAAGTGAACTCCACACTTGTCTCTCCTCCTCTACCATAAAGATAAGATCAACCAAAAGCTAACGGCAACTTATGGAAATTACCTTTTAATATTAAAGTGTGAGTCGAAATCGCCTAGGAAGGGTTCCGTAAGACTATGTAAACATTAGTACTCACAAACATTTCAGTACACAATTATAACTATTTATTACTATTAAAGAGATGGGTACCGGTAACTCATTATTGTTAGTTAAAGAAACACTTTTTGAAAAGTTATGTAGCGTTACTTCGTTTTTCTTTAGGGTAGATTGAATTATGGTCCATTTTTGCTTCTCGATGTTCCATTTGTCTGATTATTGCATCATTGTTAAATTGTTGTTTCTAGTTTAAATAGTAATTTTTAGCATATTTTTCCTTTCCTTGTTGCTCCTTTACTATAATTTTATTGTTTTTGTATGCAAAGGTTGCCTGGAAGTAATCGGTATAGCTAATAAGACCGCCTTTACACTAACTTTTTTTTTTAATCGTATATTTTACATTTGAGTGTCTGTGTTCTCTTTTTTTTAAATATGTTTTATACGATGTGTTGCGTGCGCTGCGCAAACGATTCAACAAACCAAAAAATGTCCCCTTTAATTTATATAAAAAAATGTCTGCGACAGTATATGTCTATATTTAAGGTTAAGCTTAAGAGCGATGTGACGCAAACGACGTCGTGGGTACCAGCTACAATTGTCTTCCCGTGACCACGGCTGCTGCAAAGCATCCGAAACGTCGGGCCAAAGTAAAAAAAATATATTTTTAATAAGTTTAACTAATAAATCGCGTTTTAAACCGTTAAAGTGTTTTATTTCAAAGCTACAATTTAGAAAGGATATTGTTTGCAAAAATGAAAAAATAACTAGGCCACGCGGACAAGGTCGCGAGCAAAGCTAGTTATTAAATTATAAGGCACAAATTGACGAATAACTTGTCCTGGCGAGTCCTCGAACATAAATATGTCTAGCATACGGAACCCTAAAACCGAATCTCCTGAAGCTACAGCGTATTTATAT